CAGTCTTTTCCAGCTTCTATACTCCTTGGCAGAGCCCACTTTCTAAGAAAGAAGCTGAAAAAGCCAGATACTTGTTTTCCTAGTCACTTCTGCAGCTATGGCATAGGCATACACAACTCAATTCCGGCCAATGAAACAGGAGGGAAAGATTGTCCTTACTGAGAAAGCCACATGTAAGGAGGAGGTTCTAGCTGGTGGTGGCATTAGGAGGAGGCTGAACTCGCCCCCTCATGAGCACACTGAAATATACAACTCCGTAGAGCAATTCCTCTTGAGAGACAACCCAAGGCTGATTCAGCAGTTTTTGCATAACAAACAAAAGAGAGAGACTGACTAGCGAGGGCTGGGGAACCCTGCAAGCTCTCCCAGGGCTGTAGGAACTCTTCAGGATTGGAGGTGCAGTGACCGCTATTCTTTACCCTCCACCTCAATAGTGTTGGCATGGCTCTATCCCAGTGCTCTGGTCTACCTGGAAGATCACAACTCTGTGTTCCCAGCCAAACTGCCTGGAGCCCATTGTGGCCTGAACAAAGGGAACAAGCAAAGTCAACAAGGCACCACTCCACACACCTGGCCAAAACTATCACCCACGCACAGTCTGCACAGAGGTAGCTTCTATACGAGGCCACTTTTTCAAGAGTTGGAGAGAGCGCTGTATTTTGTAGAAAGTCAAACAAAATGAAAAGACAGAAGAATCTCTCTCAAATGAAGAAACAAGAAAAATTCCCAGAAAAAAAACCTCATGAAACAGAGATAAGTAATTTGCTGAATAAAGAATTCAAAGAAATGGTCATAAGGATGCTCACCAAGCTAGAGAAAGTAGAATAAAGGAATCTAAGGAGAACTTTGGCAAAGAGTTAGAAAGCATAGTAACGAACCAAGCATCAAATTAGTAATGATATAATGGCCTTAAATGTCACATTAGACCAGAATGACATAACATTTTCAGAAATTTCATCCAAAAACTGGAGAATTCTCATTTCTTCCAAGTGCACATGGAACATTCTCCAGAATAGACCACATATTAGCCACAGAACAAGCCTCAACAAATTCAAGAAGACTGAAATCATATCAAGTACCTTTTCTGACCACAATGGGATGAAACTAGAAATCAACTACAGGAATTTGGAAAAAAGCACAAATGTGGAGACTAAACAACATGCTATTAAACAACCAATGGATCAAAGAGGAAATCAAACAAGAAATCAAAAACTATCTTGAAACAAATGAAAATGAAAAGAAAACATTTCAAAACTTACAATATGCAACAAAATCAGTTCTAAGAGGGAAGTTTGTAACTATACAGGCCTATCTCGAGAAACAAAAATCCCAAACAAAAAATCTAACTACACCTAAGGGAACTGGAAAAACAAGAACAAACAAAAGCTAAAGTAAACAAAAGGAAGGAAATAGTTAAGATTAGAGAGGAAATAAAAATTTTAAAATAGAAAAGATCAATAAAACTAAGAGCTAGTTTTATGAAAAGATAAAATTGACAAACCTTTAGCCAAACTCATCAAAAAAAGCCCAAATAAATAAAATCATAAAGAGGAAAAGTTACAACTAACACCACAGATATACAAAGAATCATTAAAGAATACTATGAATATATGGCCACAAATTTGACAATCTAGAAGAAATGGATAAACTTCTAGAATTATATAACCTTCCAGGACTGCACCAGGAAGAAATATAAAATCTAAACAAACCAATTACTTGAAACAAACCATTTGTTTCAAGATAGTTTTTGATTTCTTGTTTGATTTCCTCTTTGATCCATTGGTTGTTTAATAGCATGTTGTTTAGTCTCCACATTTGTGCTTTTTTCCAAATTCCTGTAGTTGATTTCTAGTTTCATCCCATTGTGGTCAGAAAAGGTACTTGATATGATTTCAGTCTTCTTGAATTTGTTGAGGCTTGTTCTGTGGCTAATATGTGGTCTATTCTGGAGAATGTTCCATGTGCACTTGGAAGAAATGAGAATTCTCCAGCAATACAATTGAAGCAGCAATCAAAAAAGTTCCAACAAATAAAAGCCAAGGAGATGGCTTCACAGGTGAATTCTACCAGTCAAAGAAGAATTAATACCCATCCTTCTTCAACTATTCCAAAAAACTGAAGAGCATGGAAAGCTCCCAAACTCATTTTATGAGACCAGCATTACTCTGACCAAAACCAGGAAAAGGCACTAGAAAAAAAAAATTTCAGGCCAATATCCCTGATGAACACAGATGCAAAAATCCTCAATGAAATATTAGCAAACCAAATTCAGCCATGTAGCAAAAAGATCATACACATGATCAAGTGGGATTTATTCCAGGGATATAAGGTTTGTTCATTAACTTCAAATCAATTAATGTGAGACACCACATGAACAAAATGAAATACAACAATCATATTATCACATCAGTAGAAAAAGCATGACAAAATCCAACATCCATTTCATTTATGATAAAAACTCTCAGCAAAGTGGGATAGAGGAGACATCCCTCCACATAATAACGGTCATATATGGCAAACCCATAGCTAACATTGTACTCAATGCTGAAAAGCTGAAAGCTTTTTCTTTAAGGTCAGGAACAAGACAAAGATATCCACTTTCACCACTTTAATTTGCATAGTAATGGAAGTCCTAGTGATATTAATCATAAAAGAAAAAAGGCATCCAAATTGGAAAGGAGAATTAAACTGTCATTATTTGCAGATGGCCTGATACTATATATAGAGAACCCTAAAGAGTCTACCAAAAAAACTATTAGAATAGACAAATTCAGTAAAGTAGCAGTATACAAAATTAATATTCAGAAGTCAGTTGCAATAACAAACTATCAAAAAGAGAAGAAAATAATCCCATCTACAATTATATATATATATATATATATATAAAAGTATAAAATACCTAGGAATAAATTTAACCAAGGAGGTAAAAGACCTGTATTCAGATATCGTAAGACATTGAAGAAGATACAATTAAATGGAAACATACTGTGCTCATGGGTAGGAAGAATTAACATTGTTAAAATGTCCATACTACTCAAAGCAATCTATAGATTCACTGCAATCTCTATCAAATGACCAGTGGCATTTTTCACAGAACTAGAATAATCCATCCTAAAATTTATATGGAACCACAAAAGACCCTGACTAGCCAAAGCAATCTTGAGAAAGAAGAACGAAGTTGGAGGTATTACCAAACTATACTCCAAGGCTATAGTAATCAAAATAGCATGGTGCTGGCATAAAGACAGACACATAGATCAGTGGAACAGAATAGAGATCCCAGAAATAAACCCACACCTATATGGTCAATTAATCTGTAACAAAGGAGGTGAGGAAATACAATGAGGTAAAGACAGTCTCTTCAATAATGGTGTTGGGAAAACTGGACAGATACACATTAAAAAAAAGGAAACTAGACCACTTTCTTATACTATATATAAAAATAAACTCAAAATGGATTAAAGACTTAAATATAAGACCTGAAACTATAAAACTCTTAGAAGAAAACATACGTAATAAACTCTTTAACATTGGCAGTATGTTTTGGGGTATGTCTCTTAGGGCAAAGATAACAAAAGAAAAAATAAATAAATGATAGTACATAAAACTAAAAAGTTTTTTCACCAGAGGAAACCATCAACAAAACAAAAAGGCAACCTACAGAATGGAGAAGATATTTGCAAATGATATATCCAATAAGGGGATAATATCCACAATATATAAAGAACTTATACAGCTCAACATCAAAAAAGCAAACAATCTAATTTAAAAAATGGGCAAAGGACATGAATAGACATTTCTCTAAATACATACAGATGGTCAACAGACATATGACAAGATGCTCGACATCACTAATCACCAGGGAAAGGCAAATCAGAACCATAATGAGATATCATCTCACGCCTGTCAGGAAAGCCAATATCAATAAATCAACAAGTGTTGGCAAGCATATGGAGGAAAAAGAACCTTCATGGACTGTTGATGGGATTGTAAATTGGTGCACCCACTATGGAAAACAGTTTGAAGGTTCCTCAAAAAATTAAAAATATAACTACCATAAACCCAGCAATTCTACTTCTGGATGTTTATCCAAAGAAACCCAAAACACTAATTTGAAAAAGATATATGCACTCCAGTATTCAATGCAGCATTATTTATAATAGCCAAGGTTACTGAGGAAAAAAGCAACCCAGGTGTACATCAATAGACAACTGGATAAAGAAGATATGGTATAGGTATACAATGGAATATTACTTAGCAATAAAAAATAATGCAATCTTGCCATTTGCAACAACATAGATGGACCTAGAGGATATTATGTTAAGTGAAATAAGTCAGACAGAAAGACAAATACTGTTATGATTTCACTTATATGTGAAATCTAAAAAAACAAATGAACAAACAAAACAGAAACAGACTCATAGAGAACAAGCTGATGATTGCCAAAGGGAATAGGCGTGGAAGAACAGGTGAAAGACACACAGACACACAGACACACAGACACACACACACAGTGCCATGGGATTGATTGAGTTTGATTCTTTACAAAAAAAGGAAAGATGGTAAATTTTATTTGTATTTCACTACAATAAAAAAATAATAATAATAAAAAACCTTACAGAGCAGAAGTTTTCAAACTTCAGAAGGCATCAGAATTACGGACAATGTTTATTGAAACACAAATTACTGAGCTTCATCTCCAGAGTTTTTGATTTAGGAAATCTGTGATGGGGCCTGAAAATGTGCATTTCTAACACGTTCCTGGGTGATGGCAATGCTGCAGGTCCAGGAATGACACTTTGAGAAGCACCGCTATAGGCCAAAACTGACCCTCTTAAAATAAAATCAAGGCTTTGTTACAAATGGCCACCACAATCATTTCTTTTCAGCTAACCAAGAACTTTAGGAACAGAAATGCTGACACAGGGTCAAAGTATTGGTGTTGGAGTCAGAAGTCCTGGACACTATCATTAATCAACTGTTAATATATACCCTGGATAAATCCTACTTTTTGAGACTAACTTTCCTTGCTTCTGTTTTGGTGTATCTTCAGTTCTCATATTAAATTAGTAATAAAAGTTAATTTGGGGAGTTCTAATCACTTTAATGTTTTACTGAGTCATAAAATTTTATGAAGTTTCATGTTCCTAGGGCACACAGTTATAAGCTTTTTGATGACAAATATGTTCCCAGAAGGCTTCTTATCTAAGGAGTTCAGAAAAAAAACTAAAGTGTGCTTTATGCAATAAAAATAATACATCTGAGATATTTGCATGAAATCATTTAGAGGTATACCATGAACACTTAAAAGTACATCCTTCATAAAAGTTACTTCAAACTAATAAGTTCCTATTAAAGATTTTTTTTCAGTATCTTCTGCAAAAATTCAGGACCTACACGTTCCATAACTGGAGCCCAGAAAAAAACTCTTCTGAGACCTGAAAGGAAAAAAAAGAAAAATTTAGGAATAAACAAACTATTTTATACATGTCTTTTAACAGCCATCACATTTCAAAAACCCAAAGATCTATCAATCTATTTCTTATCATTTTCACTATTTCTGCATACTTTGTATTTAACATTTAGAAAATCATCAATCCTTTATACAAGTTGTTTAGATATCGTCGATTATTCATATTCTTGTGATCTGTTAAAAATTAGCTAAAGTATAATAGAGTTGGCTTTAGAAACCATTGCCAGTGCTTTGCCTTGAACATGTAATTCAATATTAGTTCACTCGTGGATAACATCAAGTGGGGGAACTTACAAATTATGGAATACCTGTGATACAATAGCAGTAGATATTTACATATTTCTAATTCTATTAAAATTTATTATAAATGATATGTTGCCATATGAATTCTAGTAAAAGTTCTTGTAAACATTCTATATATTCTAGAAAAAAATAAACCAAATTTTTAAATTCACATGAGAAAGGGAGAAAAAATAGATTTGTAAGCTCTTAACAGCAAGATCCTTGTTTTAATTATCCTGGTACCCACTTGTGCAAAATGCTAAATAACTGTCTAGTATTGAAAACAATTCTGGTTTCTTAGATAACACAGAATTTGAGAAGCATGTTTTAGAGCTAGAAGGAAACTAACAGATCGTCCCATTTAAACCCTCCATTTCATCAATGAAGCTCAGAAGTTCTGTGACTTACTCAAGTCTTGCAGCCAGAATTGTGACTGGAACCTAAGTCTTCAAACTCTTAAAGTGTGCTCTTTGATTACATAACTCTGCCCACTTCCAACTCTTCCAAATCATATATCTTTTTTAACGTTCAGGGAGATACAGTAACCAGAAAGAGACTGTAATAGTAATTTAAAATGTAACTAAGCATGCTGAATCCAATACAAATCAGAGCACTTACTATGTGGTGTATATGTTCTCATGCACACTGAATCAACAAAATGCATTTATTTCTTAACACACAAATCAAGCAACTTTATATAAGACAACAGTGACTTATCACTAAATTCAAAAATTCTTAAATGTTTTATTCATGATTATTACTGTTGTCTTACTACTCTACTTCGCTTTGCAAGAATGATTTGTTTTTACAGATCACATCATCCAAGCATGATGCATTTACTTCTCTTCATCTACTCCCAATTAATATTTCTCAATAGCACCAGCAGGTAAAGATGCATTCATTTATCTTTCTCCCTAGCAGGTGAGCACTCACTGTCATTAATAATGAATATTTTCTGTTATATATGCTTAATAACACTTAAAAGATAAAATTGACAATCCTGTTCTTTAGAAACATAAGAAAGATAGTAAAGTTAAAAAAGCACTGAGTTAAAACCCAATTGTAGTTCTAGGTCTATAATTTGTTGTAGACAAGACCATTCATTCACTCACCCTTAATAATCACAGCATGCTTTACAGCGTACCAGGCATTGGGATACATTGGTAACTTAAAGATAGTGCTGGCTTTCAATGACCTAAGCACAGGAAGGCTGTTTAAGTAAAATCGTATCTGGAAGCTGTATAAAAAGACATTAGGGAAACTTAATTCTAAAGTGCATTCATTGAAGCCACAGTAGTTTCACATTTATGTAATACCATCTTCCCAAGGTGAAAATGAACCTAGTGACAACACTCCTTTTTGGGGTGCATACTGGCCAAATTACTATCAAAAGTTGTCAGTATAAAAAAAAAAAAGAGTGAGAAAATACATATTCTCTATTTGAATATGGTTTTATGAGGACATGATGCCTACAGCTGAAGCAACCAAAAGCCAAGATGCTTGATGACAAGGTGGTGCCGCTGAACTAATCTTGGACCCCATACCTACAGACTTCTTGTTATGTGAAATAATAAGAACCTTATTGTTTAAGCCATTTTAAGTCAAATCTCCTATTACTTGCAGCCAAAAGCATCCCAAATGATAATTAACCCTAAAGAAAAAAATCTTTTCACAACAGCAATTACAATGGTAAATGAAATATTGGAACTGAGCTACTATCTTTTAAACACAAGTCAAGTTCTAATGCTCTAGGGTATTCATTATATGTAATAACTCCTATGCATCTAGGATGGTAGTAGCTCTGTACCACCCTCAGAATTGAGAAAAGTCACTCAAAATCATTTTCTGTAGGGACCATGGTTGAGAAAGGCTGAGCATCTAGTAATGACACAATCTCTCACTCCTCCACCTACCTGAAACCACATTTTATCTCACCCCAGAGCACCCTTCCAAAAAGAAAAAAGGCAAACCTTCTGAAACTAAGCCACCATATATTGGCAAGCATAAGTTATCCTTACTAAGGTTCCTTCCAAAATACTTTATTTCTTCCTCCAAGGAAGATTCACTTAACATTCACCCCCTTTCGTGTTTTTTATAACATTCATCTAGCTAATGATGTGTGTTGTTACATCATTAATAATAATGCCCCTTTTTCTACCCCAACTCCTATATTCCATATCCCATAAGCCCTGGATACAACATGGGCCTTGGGCTTCTGAAAATCGAGGGCTCGAAATTCTAATTTAGAAATTTTCTAGATTTGAAGCCTTGGAAGTTCTATGGGTTCTCCGGGCCTAAGTTTCCTCATTTATTAAATGAGAAAGAACAAATCCAACTTATCTCATGGGGCTGCAGAATGTCCCTCAATTCAGATTTGTCTGAGGTATATGAATTGTATGTTATTCTATTTTGTGTAATAATTATATCACGAGTATAAGATTATCACGCTGTTCATCATCCAGATGATGTGGGTAAAAAAAAAAAAAAGATCATCAAGTATTCAAAGTCCAAATTCTATTGACTATATATATGTGTGTATGACTATTCAAAGTCCAAATTCTATTGACTACATATGTGTGTATGACTATATATGTGTACATATATACACACGCACACTGTGAAAAAGGAGCATACATATTTTTTAAAGTTTAATAATCCTCAGAAATTATGTATTGATTTGACAACTGCCAAAATCCAGGGTTCACTCAAAGCAACAGAAAGGAGAAAAGCAATAAACCAGAGGGTCAAATTGCAATAGATGATAAGAAAAACTGAACGATGGTTGAGAAGTGGAAGGTGGGAAGGGATATGAAAGAATTTTCTGTAATAATGGACATGTTCTAATTATATTTTGAGTTACAAGTGTATACATTTGTGAAACTCATCTGAGATTTATATATTTGCATGGAAATATTGACCTCGGGTGAACTGTACTAAGGTCTGCCTAAAAAATAAGGTGGTTTAACGGAAGAACAGTTGGACAAATGTGATAATAGCAAATATGACAACATGTTAACAATTGCAGAACGTAGGTGGTGGATATGTGGGTGTTCCCTGTAGAAGTCTTTTTACTTTTCTGTATGTCCCAAAGTTTTCATAATCAAATTGGAATTAAAAACAATGTGAAAGGCCACCAAGGCGTTTGAAAGCAGGTACAGGGCGGGCACTTCCCTAAGGCTCACAGAACACCTCAAAGCCCCCCACCACCCACACGATCCAAGCCCAGGGCAGCCTGGCCTGCCTCCTTGCCCCGGTGCTGCGGCTCTACCGCATCTCTGCTGGAGTCGCCTCCTGTTCGCCCGGTCTCAGTCGGTTCGCAGAACACACTCCATCACCTGGTTCCCAGAACTCAGATTGCGCAGTGGTCACGTCATCATCGACCAGGGCTCACAGTTACAGCGTCAGAAGCCTCTCTAGATCTCCCTCATCTCTAGCCTAATCGGTTATCCCTTATCTCCCCGACTCCCGGTCCCCTGGCCCCACTTCACCTGACACGTTGTCATAATCCTCTCAGGCTCCGGGCAAAGCGACGTCGCCTGCCATGGGGCCCAATCATATAAGGAAAATACTGCAGGCTCATCCGGGGACGACATCGGGGACCCGGGGGCACCCCTGCCCTACGACGCTCGCTGCACCCCTCACACGCCAACCTCCCCGCCCCCAGAGAGCCAGGTCCCCGCCACCCGCTGCCAAGCAGCCTAGGCCTCAGAGGCCCGGGTGTCCGCGGC